CAAAATGTCCTGTAACTGTGGTAAGTCACCTGCCCTCTTGTTCAGGGAGGACATGGAAACCCCACGAAATGGACTTGAACTGGTGTCTAATCTACAAAGAGGAGGGTCAACTCAAAGGAAACATCTCATCCATGCTTCCAAGTGAAGCCAGACATGATTGAGCAGGACCTTTGACTTATCTTCACATAGATGGAACTGGTAAAAGAAAGGAGCCAGGGGCTCCTCCCAAGCCCATGGGACCCCTGAGGAACAGATCCTCAAATAACCTTAAGTGTAAAAATAAATTGATTTATTTGGGCCAACTGCATGGTCTTAAACACCCAAAAGGAAAGTATAACCAAAGAGTAAAGTCATCAGTATATTTCTTTAAGAGTTCAAGGGATTACACTTCCCAGATATTAGGCTTAAGTCCAAATAAAAACTTACTTAGACAATTATTTCTCATTGATGATTTTGTTCCTAATCAGAAAGTGCTGCTTAGATGTAAGACTTCAAATCTTGGTCTGCAATACTGTAGTGCCCACCTGTAGCTAAGGGAGACAACCTGTTATTGTTTTAAAATTATGGCTAAATTTGTTTTCTCCCCCTAACTAGAAGCCTTTGAGAGGAAACTGACACTGATTCTAACCATTCCAACGCCTATCAAAATACCTGAAAGCAAATCCTGAGTCCATCACTGCCCAACCTTGGCAGACAAAAAAAAAAAAAAAAAAAAAAAGGAGGAGGAACCCAATAGAGGGAGGCTTTCGGAAGCTCTCATGAAGAAGTTCCAATGGACTCCCATGTGAATATTTGAAAATTGCCCTGTTCTTTTTTCTGCTTCCCTGTCTAGAACTTGTAATGCTAATTGCTCTTGCCTTTACTTCTCCTTCACATCTCCTATTCATCAGTCAAGGACTTTCTTTTCTACCTATAGATAAGAGTTAGACAAGTTGGGAATCTTTTAGATAGACTCACTGAAGGGGCACTCAAATTGCCTCACCCTGCTTCCCTGTTCAGCATGGAAGAAGCCAGAGTGGTCTGTGTCCTGATTCCCTATCAGCAAATTGGGTAACTCCTTCAGAGGATGATAAGAATAGGAGGTAGGAATTGGCTAGCAGTTAGGGAAAAAAGACCCCAAAGAAAATAGCCAGTTTCTTGGCTAAAACTCACAATGTCCTTGGGCCTCTTAGCAACATACTCCATTCCAAAGGCCAAAAATGTCAAAAGTATTTTGGAGCTTTTATGTAATCCTTAAAAGATTTTAGTGTTATGTCTTCAGAGGGGAGAATGTTAGAGTAGCCAAAAACCCCATAAAAAAAATAAATAAAAGAAGACAAAGTACATGAAAAAAAA